AGTCCTACAATGCTAACAGCATTGAATGCTAAAAAAAAAAAAAAAAAAAAAAGCTACAATGTGATATCAAAAAGCTGAGATCGTTTTTCAATGCCCACGTTAAGAGCAATTTAATATCTTCTGACAAGAATATCAAAGACAACCTGTAAAAATAAAACCTAGTTTCATGGTCTATAGCTAAACAGAAACACTCCAGTTAATACCTTTATGCATTAATCCCAGAAAGTTATTATTTGCAATTGAACATACCCTTAGATGTATATATAAATGTTATTTTAGTATCTAGCACATGCTTGAATTGAGCCCCCCCCCAATTACTACTTTTTTTTTTTTTTTACCTTTTAAAGACATTTAATGCAAGCAGTGTCAGAGATGACAGGTGTATGATGTGTTATTTTAGTCTCCACTGGTTCCCACACCATCTTCTTCAACAACCTAATCCTTTCATGATAGTCGTTTGGTTAACTTTTGCCAAGCTTGCAACATTAACACTTCACTGGAAACCGAATTAATGTACTCCAACATAGCACTGAGCAGTATCTCAGTGTCTTAAGAGCACGCAATGAAAAATAAAACCAGACATTAATAGAAACACAAGCCATTCCTTTCACACCACCAGAACAATCTTTAAAGGAAATGTGCAAAGTTTGTTTAAAACTTCTGTGGAATTAACAGCTCGTGTACTGTTGGACACACGGTGTACTTAAACCTCCCAGTTCAAGGAGACAGACATGCCTCCTACATTAGTCCTAAGCATCGCTAACTTAGTATCAGTAGACTGCCTGCCTTAGATTTGCAAACTCATAGTTCTACATCTTCTACCCATGACCGAACAGCAAACCACCACAAGGAAAGAAGAGTCCTATTTCTTTTAAGATGGTAAGATTTCTCTTTCTTTCGCAACAGTTTCTGGAACTTCGTCTTGTAATCAAGAGGCTGTGACGATTTAAGTCAGAAACAGAAACTGTGCAGCCCTGAAATGTCTTCTGCTAGGCTGCTGGCCAGAAGAAGGTAATTTCAACTTGCATTCATTCCAGAGGGTCTGTTTGCATTGCAATTATTTGAGCAAATTGTTTTCTTAGATGATGAAGTGAATATACAGCAGGGAAAGACAATATGAACAGAAACTTCCAATATAAAAATCTGTTTGTTTGTTTTTTAATAATAGATGCTGGTATTCAGGGAGGCAATGAACTGCTATTTGTCTTCCATCTGCTGGGCCTTTAAATGCTTCTGAGTCCTGTTTTCCAGGCTAAGGTTGAGAACTGTTTCTTGGAGCTTGGTTAGCTTAAGTTTACATTCCCACACAGCCACATGTGGAGACCAAAGGAAAACCCAGCAGGCACTACCCACTCTACATACAGGTTGGGAGCTCTGGCACTCTGCGGGTCTCATGCAGCCTTTTCAGAGCAGGCCCACCTGATAAGACATAGGATATTTGTTAGTAAATTTAGTAGAACTGTAGCCTAATAAAAATGTACTAAAATAATGAATTTGCTATACTAAGGGTTGCTTTGTGAAACTATCAGTCAACTATGCCAAGCATCCTGCAGGTTGTGAGAACGTCAAGCCTTCTAAGAACCTGTGGCTCCTGCAGATGTTGATTCTGAGCCACCTGGGCAATCTACCAGGGGAGACTGGAGACAGGACCAGGAGGAGAGACAGGACAAAGGACTAGAATCAACAAAGACCCCCACAGGAGACCCTCAAGCATGCATCATGACAAAGACAGCCAATTCCAGGAAATAAAATGACTATGTAAAAGAATTCTGGGAACTCACTGACATGGAACTGAACATGACTGGTTTTGGTGTGTATGAGTTGGGGTGTTTCACTGGAGCACTCATGCTGGAGAATCCCCAGCTTTGCAATAAAGAAAGCCTGCAGAGTAACAGCTTGTTTGTTGTTATTGGGTCTTAATCTCGGAATCCTTACCCAGCCCCACCTGCCTCCCACTTGGGTGAGGAGTGTTAGAAGGCGAGGGGATTTGGAAGCTTTACACAAACCGTGCGACAGCCCAGGGCGCCGGGACAGACCCCGCGCCTGCCCGGCTAACCCCTGCAGGGGCGGCTGTTCCCCCCGCCCACCATGCCCACCTCCCAGGCCACAGCTCCACAATTTGTCTTCCATCTGCTGGGCCTTTAAATGCTTCTGAGTCCTGTTTTCCAGGCTAAGGTTGAGAACTGTTTCTTGGAGCTTGGTTAGCTTAAGTTTACATTCCCACACAGCCACATGTGGAGACCAAAGGAAAACCCAGCAGGCACTACCCACTCTACATACAGGTTGGGAGCTCTGGCACTCTGCGGGTCTCATGCAGCCTTTTCAGAGCAGGCCCACCTGATAAGACATAGGATATTTGTTAGTAAATTTAGTAGAACTGTAGCCTAATAAAAATGTACTAAAATAATGAATTTGCTATACTAAGGGTTGCTTTGTGAAACTATCGGTCAACTATGCCAAGCATCCTGCAGGTTGTGAGAACGTCAAGCCTTCTAAGAACCTGTGGCTCCTGCAGATGTTGATTCTGAGCCACCTGGGCAATCTACCAGGGGAGACTGGAGACAGGACCAGGAGGAGAGACAGGACAAAGGACTAGAATCAACAAAGACCCCCACAGGAGACCCTCAAGCATGCATCATGACAAAGACAGCCAATTCCAGGAAATAAAATGACTATGTAAAAGAATTCTGGGAACTCACTGACATGGAACTGAACATGACTGGTTTTGGTGTGTATGAGTTGGGGTGTTTCACTGGAGCACTCATGCTGGAGAATCCCCAGCTTTGCAATAAAGAAAGCCTGCAGAGTAACAGCTTGTTTGTTGTTATTGGGTCTTAATCTCGGAATCCTTACCCAGCCCCACCTGCCTCCCACTTGGGTGAGGAGTGTTAGAAGGCGAGGGGATTTGGAAGCTTTACACAAACCGTGCGACAGCCCAGGGCGCCGGGACAGACCCCGCGCCTGCCCGGCTAACCCCTGCAGGGGCGGCTGTTCCCCCCGCCCACCATGCCCACCTCCCAGGCCACAGCTCCACA